CGCTGAGCACAGCCCCAGCTATGGCTGTCTCAACTAGGCGGGCTATGGCTGCCTCACACAACTGATGTCGCAGGTGCCGCTGTAGACATTCAGCGCTGCTAAACTTGGTTGGCCACGAACGCAGTCACGCGAAAAATGAAAAGCCAAAAGTCCCTACCCGATTTCCCTACCGGACTTATAGACTTCCTACTCTAACCTAGACCTAGACTGGACTGACTGGACCTACCGGTACCGCTGCTGTTTCGGCCTCTCGGCCTCTACCGGACCCGGCTATAGGCTATGGGACCGTATAGCAGTATAGGCCGCTTAGGGCCTGTCGGTCCTAGGGGTAGCCCGGGCCTGCTATAGGCAGTTAGGGTACCTGTAGAAATTCAGTTAGTACCGGGCCTGTATTTTCCCGGAATTGCAGATCTGTCCCTCGTGAATTTCCAACCAGGCAGGTCTCTCGGTTGGCCCTCAGCCAAACAAATTTACGAATCTAACCCTACGATTAGTGTACAGCCTCGCGGTCAGTCTCGGCAGCAGAAATCAGCAAGTCATTGCACACGGAGCGGAAGAAACCCGGGTGGCGGGGCACTTTGCAAGTGCACCACCCACCAACCGCAATCTGCTGTGAGAAATCTGAGTGTGAATAGGCCCGTGGGACCAGCACCTGCAGACATAGCTTAGCTGGTACACCCGCGAACTGCTGAGAACAGACCTGTGAAACCAGCACCAGTAGGCATACCTCAATTGGTACACCCGCAGACTGTTGAAAAACAGTCCTGTGGGATCTGTACCTGCGGTAGCTCGGTGGGTACACCTGCAGACTGTTGAAAAACAGTCATGTGGGATTTGTACCTGCGGGAGCTCGGTTGGTACGCCCGTAGACTGTTGAGAAACAGTGCTGTGGGACCGATGCCGCTGGGCCAAGCTCAGTTGGTACACCCGCTGACTGTTGAAAAACAGTCCTGTGGGATCACCACCTAAGCAAGCCCAGCTGGTATGCCCGTGAACTGTTGAAAATAGGCCTGTGGGACCAGGCCCACAGCCTAGCTCAAGCTGGTACACCTGCAGACTGTTGAAAAACAGGTCTGTGGGATCAGTGTCACTGGGCCTTGCTCAGTTGGCACATCCACAAACTGTTGAGAAACCAGGTCTGTGGGATCACAGCCACTGGGCCTAGCTCAGGTTGGTACCCCCGCAGACTGTTGAAAAACAGTCCTGTGGGATGAGTACCTACCCTAGCTCAGTTGGCATACCAGCAGGTGTTGAGGAACAGGCCTGTGGGATTAGCGCCACAGGACCTAGCTCAACTGGTACACCCACGAGCTATTGAAACACAGGTCCTTTGCCACTGGAAGAAAATGAGTAGATGCTACAATTTTGAACTGCGCACGGTTGGTCAGCTTGAAGGGGCTACCTCAAGCCTGCAGTTGCAGTCAGATACATTCAGGAACAAGCTAGTTTGAGTACGGGCTAGTATGAGTACGCCCTGCGGGGTGTGCAAAGCCAAAGGATAGCGGGTTCCCCCTGAAATTCCCCGCTGGCAGCAATGCTGACGTCCAAAACGTTCGTCGGACTTTGGTATAGGGGCGAGAGACTATCGAACCTGCTGGTGGCCGGTTCCCTCTGAAGTTTCCCCGGGGTAGGTGGACTTTGTCGGAACGCATCTTCATCCGGACGGACTGAGCGGTACTGAGCAGCGCTAGTAGGGGACGTGGGCGCTAGCGGGAACGACGAGGAAGAAGAAGACAAACGCGAAGGGGAGGGAGGAAGAAGAGGGTAGGAGAAGGTGGAGTTCGTCCATTCCTTGATGGAAAAGGGCGAAGTGAAGGTTGATGCAATCAGACTCGATTCATTCACACTTTTCATGCAGGTGAACAGCAGCACAGCAAACTGGCGACATGCACCCGCGCAGAAGTCAGAGATATGGCTCCAGATAAGAGTTCCCTTCCACTGGCTATGGCGACTCGGCGCCCAACAACCCACGGTTCACACACACTGGATCACCCTGGATATCCCACACACGACACTCCGAACACACACACAACACACACACACTTCGCCCTAAGCTACAGCTACGGCAGCGCTAGCTGCCTCTACCCTATCGCTAAGGCTACACTCTTCTGGCCCACTTCGACTTCGGGCATACTGCAGACCTCCTCGCTCAAGACGCTGAGGCAGCGCTTCCGCAGGGCTTCCGCAGGAATGAATGAATGGCTGGTCTGCCTTGTTACCCTGGCCCACGGTGTACACGGTCCCAGACGGTACTTGCTTGACTGGACCGGACTGACTGGACTGGGACTGCTGACTCTGCACGGTGGACTTCCACCACTTGCCCACTTGCCCACTTGCCTGGACCTACAGTGGGCTGACTTCGAAAGGGCCACTTCTAGAAACACCTACTTGGCCTTTCGGTACTGTAGCAGCTACGACTTTGCCCTTTCAGGTAAGTAGCAACTACAACTTTGACCCTTCGAAACGTCTACAGCTAAGACCTTTGGACTATCTAGACTCCTACCCGACAGATCCACAGTTCGAATCCCCTATACCCTGCAACCTACGATGTCATACCTACCACTGGCGATCCTACAGGTCACATGTTTAACTCTACGGGTTGACTCAGGTACTGTACACAGGTAAGGTGGGGAACTAGGGATCGAGCCCTGGGATCTGCGTCAGCTATTGCGAACTGGTGAATACCGTTTCACTCCCGCTGGCCTAAATTCGAGGTCCTCCGAGAAAATTTCAGTCCACAGCAGGACCTTTACCTTTCCTCTTTCATCGGCCTTAACTATGTCCGGGGCTGTTTCTAGAAGTTGACTTCTGGTGAACCACCGGTCGTCTTCTGGCTCCTGATATGCAAATCGGACCTTATACTGTTTCTGTGGACGACCTCGACCTCCTGTCCTGAACACATCTTCACCTACAATGCCGTCAATGTCATACCTCCCATCCATGTCTAGAGGGATCATGGAACGCCTAGATGGAAACTGATCACTAATTGTGCACGGCAACAACTTTGACGCATGGAAAACTGGGTAGGTGTGGAGGTGTAATGGGATATCTACTGAATATGATGGACCATCCTCTCCGCCCTTGACTTCTAGTTACTTTTGGGAGATGTTCTCCTCAGGAGCGAACTCTTTAGCTTTGAACCAGACTAAGTCGCCTACTTGGAACTGTGATGGGCGACAATGTTTGTTGGCTTGCTCTATCATCCTATGCTGGGCCTTCTTGAGGTTCTCTACAACAGTAGCTAGTTCCTTTTCGTGCTGGAGAGCGAACTCCCTAGCACCGGGCGGTAGCCTATGAATCTGATCCTGGTTGAGTCCTTCAAACGGTCTGCGCGGCCTAAAGGACTTGTACAGCTCGTTGGGAGTGCGGCACGTAGACAGATGCACACTATTGTTGTAAGCACTGGCTACCTTGGGGAGCATCTCATCCCAGTCAATCTGATCAGGTCTAATGTACATTCTCGGAACTTGCTGCATGATCTTATTCATCTGTTCAGTCTGGCCGTTGGTCTCTGGGTGACGGCCAGACGACATCAACAACTTAGAGCCATAGACTCTCATCAATTCCTGCCAGTTCTGACTTGTGAACCGCGTGTCTCTATCACTAACTATGGACAATGGGACCCCGTGCTCACTGACCCATTGATCAAAGAACTTACGGATCACTAATTTCGTTCGTGCCTCTGAAGGCAAAGGTACAAACACAGCATACTTGCTAAACCTATCGACTATCACCATGACTTGGCTCTTGCCATGCCTACTCTTGATGCTTGCGTCCATGAAGTCGATGGACACTGAATCCCCGGGCTGATCAGGAATAGGCAAGGGTCTGAGAAGACCTAGCGGAGCACACATAGTGGTCTTATTCCGCTGGCAAACTTTGCAACTGCAGACATACTCTATGCAGTCATTCTTCATCCCTGGCCAGGTGTACGTGTGCATCAGGTTGGCTAGAGTCTTTTGCCAACCAAAATGACCCTCTGTGTCGTGACATTCCCCTAGGAACAGACTACGGATCTCTTCACTATTGGGAATGCACAGGCGGTCAATTACGTTAGTCTTCTCGAATAGTAGTCCACCCGTAGTGCGGTAGTCTGGCTCGGTCTCTGAGTTTTAGGTGCAGCTCTTTTATGTGCTATTCATGGCGCAACAGTAGAAAATACTCTTTTTGAGGATGGAGATGGTGCTAATACTTTTCGTGCATTTAATCCAACTCAATCTGAAGAAACATATTCTATGGTAACTGCTAATAGGTTTTGGTCTCAAATCTTTGGAATTGCTTTTTCCAATAAACGTTGGCTTCATTTTTTTATGTTATTTGTTCCTGTAACTGGTTTATGGATGAGTGCTATTGGAGTAGTAGGTCTTGCTCTTAACTTAAGAGCTTATGATTTTGTTTCTCAAGAAATACGCGCAGCAGAAGATCCTGAGTTTGAAACTTTTTATACTAAGAATACCTTGCTTAATGAAGGAATTCGTGCTTGGATGGCAGCTCAAGATCAGCCTCATGAAAATCTTGTATTCCCTGAGGAGGTACTTCCACGTGGAAACGCTCTTTAATGAAACTTTGGCATTAGGTGGCCGTGACCAAGAGTCTACTGGTTTTGCTTGGTGGGCAGGCAATGCTAGACTTATTAATCTTTCTGGTAAATTATTGGGCGCTCATGTAGCTCATGCAGGATTAATTGTTTTTTGGGCTGGAGCAATGAATTTGTTTGAAGTAGGGGCCTCCTTTACTCGCTTGAGGAGGTCACTATAGATAGGGTCCTGCGCATACGCTTCTTTAACCTTTTCCTGCAGGTCTCTCCCTATATCCAGATAGTGAACTATCGCTCCAAAGTAATCCGCTCTCCTACTCAGGGCGTCCGCAACTACGTTGTATTTCCCCTTGGCTGGCTTGAGCTCAAAATCGTACTGGTCTATCTCTGCGGCCCACCTAGTAAGCATAGGTGTCATCTTGGCCTGCGTCTTCAACCATCTTAACGTCTCGTGGTCACTTCCAGTGCTCTAGTGCTTGCCTGAGAGCGTAGAGTTACCTCATATAGGTAGATGTCGCAACCTTCTCTGAAGGCATCCTAGCAGACATGAACTCTACGGGCCTATAACCATTGCCATCGTCTTGCTGCAACACAACACCTATGTCGTACTGACTAGCGTCMGTAGTGACGACAAAGGGTAAGGACGGATCGGCTACCTTAAGGACTGGATACTCTATTAGTGCCTGCTTTAACTTCTTCATAGCAGACGTGCAGTCCTTGTCCCACTTCCAGATGGTCTCTTTCCTGACCAGTCCGCGAAGGGGCGCAGCAACGGCGGAGAAGTTCCTTACGAACTTCCTATAGTAGTTTGCTAGGCCTAAGAACGACCACAACTCTGTCAACGTACGCGGTGTAGGCCAATCCCTGATTGCTGCAATTTTACTATCCTCTGGCTAAATGTCGTCTCTGTCTAAGACGTGGCCTAAGTACAAAACGTGGGTCTTTGCCCATTCGCACTTCTTTGCGTTGATCTTGAAGTTAGTTTCTCTCAGCTTCTCCAAGACCTGCCTGAGATGACCCTGATGCTCTTCAAGGGTCTTACTAAACACTAGGATATCATCCAAATAAACTACAACAAATCTATCTAACCAAGGCCTAAACAGGTCATTCATGCATCGTCGAAAAGTCGCTGGCGCATTGGTTAGTCCAAAGGGCATCACGATGAACTCGTAGTGCCCGTATCTAGTCCGGAAGGTTGTCTTGTACTGATCATTAGGATAAACATCTATCTGATGATATCCGAACTTTAAATCTATCTTCGTAAAATATCTTCACCCCTGCACTCGATCTAAAAGATAGTCTATCCTGGGCAGTGGTTCAACATTCTTAACTGTGATAGCATTCAGACCCCTATAGTCTATACACATCCTAAGCTCTCCCTCCTTCTTGGGAACGAACAGAACAGGTGCCCCGAATGGGGACGAACTGGGCCTTATCCAACCTTTCTCTAGGAGCTCGTCAAGTTGCTTGCGCAACTCCTCTAATTCCCGCAAGGACATTCTATACACGGCTCCCTTGGGCGTTCTACTGCCAGGCTCTATCTCGATTCGGTGTTGGATGGGCCGCAGAACTACTCCTATCGGCGGCTCGGCTAGATCTTTAAACTCCTCCATCAGCTTGGCAATAGCAGGGTCCATAGGCTTTTTTTCCTTAGGGTTAGTTACTGGCCTAACATAGGCTACGAAAACCTGTTCTTCTAGCTGCTCCTTCTTCACTAGCCTTGCAAACGCAGGAGCACTAAGGCAACAATGCGCCAGGGAGTTGTCTACTCCTGACACATGGAACAGACGGGCAGTCTTGACGCCGCCTGACGGACTAGGGAGCCTACACTCATGCTCTCTCAAATGGAGTGTGGCCCCTTCTGCCTCTCCCCAGTCCATACCTAGGACTACATCAAACGGGAGGCTATCCTCTACGAGGAGAGTCAGGGAATGGAGAACTTTCTCCACCTTCCCCTCCTGTTCTAGGCGAAAATATGCCTGGACTCCCTCTACGTACTCTTCGACTCGCATGGTGCGGTTATCCGCGAGGATACTTACTATGGAGTCTGCTAGTCTTTGGACCTTTAACTGCAACTTCAGCTTCTGTAGCGCCTCCCTACTAATATAACTACGAGTGGCTCCACTATCCACTAAGGCGCCTGCTCGTCCTCCAAAAATCTATGTATCTACTAATATAAGTTGCCGTTTATTCTCCTTTTTCATCTTGGCCCAAGCGGGCATCCTCTCCTTCAATTCTTCAGCCACGTCGGTGAGGGAGGTGTCTAGAGAGAATCTAACACAAGCAGTCTCTGGACATCTATCTAGACACCGGCCTGCAACCCCTGCCATAGGCACATGTGGTGTGGGAGTCTCCTGCTGGCTAGAACTATTTTCCCCACATGGCCTTATGGTAGGGGCAGTTGCTACCCCTACCGGCGGCTGCCTTTTGGCCCTTGAGCAGCCGATCGGGTCTCCCTATACTTTGGACAGTACTTAATGATGTGGCCAGGGTCACCGCAATAAATGCACTGTCACTGGGTCACACGCTGTTGCCATATGCGCTGGTCCAGACCCAGATCTTCCCAAGGCCTGCCCTGAGGCAGCCCTGGGTGCCAACCACTCCTCTTGTAAGGGGACCTATTCCCAGACTCGTTTTGCGGGGGACCTTGACCCCTTCCTCCCGCTTGGCGGTTTCCTCCTCTACCGCCAACCCCCTGATCGCCCTGAAATCGGCCCCCTGAGGCCCGGCCCCCTTGGCCCTGGCCTCGTCCTCCTTGCGGCCTCCCTCCAGCCGCGACAGCGGCATAAGTTCTCCCCTGACTTACCCCACTGTCCTCATCCTCTAATCCCCACTCGATCTGTTCGTAGGGGATCTCGTCCACACTACCCTCATCCAAAGTGAGGACAATGCCTTGAGATAGTGTGGCCCTTCCACTTTTTACCTTTATCCAGGTCCTTGTGCCAGAAAGTGGATACTGACGCGGACTTTGCTTCAAAGGCTACCACTTCCCTGCTGAGTGCGTCATACGTCGTAGCAGGATCTCGACTCTTTGCAAAGAAGTGGCCTCTCAGAGATTCGGGCATAGCCCTGTAGAAGAGGTTGACCAACTGGGTCTCTGTGACCCCATGGTCAAGGACAGCCACCCACTCGTCCATAACACCCTTCTGGAGCCTATCAGAGGCTTTGACACTGCGGGCGACATCAGCAAATCGCTCGCGCAACAACTTCATCAAATCTATGAGGGGGTGAACGACGAGTAGGCAACTGCATCGTCGTTGCAGTTGGCAGAGCGGACTAGGGACCTCGCAAAACTGGCAGCCTCGTCTCTAAGCGCATGGATAGCAATCAAGACGTGCTGATACGGGGAGACCTGTTGCAAATGCACATACGTCTTGACGTTGGCCTCCCAATTGTCAAAGTTCTCTTCCCTCTTTCCACTGTAGGAATCGAGGAACTTGACTTTGACTGGCTCCCTGCGAGGGCGTGCCTCTTCCTCTTTAGGGGCTGTCAGCTTGACGCCTTCAATAGCGCCCACGCAAAACCGTTCAGTCTTCTCGAGGCGATGGTTCACCTCGGCCCCTACTGCGCCTACCAGTTCGCGGGCAAAATCCCGAAATCCCATTCGCATCGAGCGCACGGCCATATCCTGACTTCTACTAAACTCATATTGTTCCCCTTGTATTTGGGCCAGACGCTCAACATTCTGGGCGATGACCTCCACTTTGCGTTGGAGATCCGTCTGGGCAGCCAGTTGTTCCCTCAAGCTTTTCACCTCCTCTAGTCCCTTGGCCGCTGCACTCGCCGCCTCCATTCTCTTTTTCTTTTCCCTCATCATCCTGAGCCTCCACTCCATCCTCGTCTCATCTTCCATTGCCTGCCGCTTCAGGGGGTCTTCCTCTGCATCCCATGCTTTAACGGCGGCTTCTTGCTCATCCTTGGGGATATACATTGCAACCTCCTCTTCTTCTCCCAAGGACAAGTTGGCAACCCATTCCGAAATTTTCTTCTTCATTTCATCCTGCTTAACTTCACTGGCCTGCCCCCGTTGCCATCTCCTCCTTTCCAATGGCTGATCATCTTCCTCCTCCTCTTCTACCTCTTTCAATTTCGCCTCCTCCTCTTTCTTCAGTCTTTCTTTTTCTCTGGCCATCTCCTCCTCCATCTTCTTCAGCTTCGCCACCTGCTCTTCCAACAAGGCCTTCTTCTTGGCCGCCTCCTCTCTCCTCTCTTTCAGGATGGCGGTGGCCTTGGCCTCTTCTTCAGGTGTGTAGGGGTGTGTGGTCGTACCACCCTTGGTCTCTACCCTACACGCAAAGGTGTTCCAGAATCCCAACGGAAACATGAAACGCCAAAGGGTTCCCCAGAGGGAGAACCCAACGAGTAGACCATACATGGGGTAGTCATCCATGGTGTTCAGGTGCACGACAATGTCCCGCTCCTCACCACATAGACCTACCCAAACTACTGACTGCCTGACTCTCTAAGGACCACAGGGTAGAACCCTGTCAACTATGGTCACTAGCCTAGACCTACTCTAAGGCTGTCACTACTGAACCAGTGGCTGATCAGGAGGCCTTTTAAGGAGATCCCCCAAACTCCGCAAGAATTCTTTAACGTCGCAGACAGGATGATGTGATCAGCTTGGTTCTGCTTGTGCTTTCAGCCCACAACTCGGCCTTTCCGGCCTACTGTGCCACACCGAGCAGCCCGCCGGTCTGTACCGGTCCTTGGGAGGGTTCGTATCCCCCGGGACAGTCGAGTCGTCAGACACAGTCAGACACAGATCCTCAGCCTTACTTGGTCCGGTAGGGGAGTGGTTCAAACAGGCCCTCAACACTTAAAGACTGCCTGGTGTGTCAGCCCCAACCCATTCTTTCAGGCCCATTGTTCCATACCAACCGCGTCCAGCCGGTCAGCACCGGTCCTTCGGAGGGTTATGCCCCCCTGGACAGTTGGATCTTTCACAGCCTCAGCCCTACTAGATTCGATAGGGGTTTCGTCATCCAGGCCTACCCTTCATGCACAGAGTACTACCACTTAGGACAGAAGAGACTCGATGCAGAAAGAAGAGACAGACAGACTCAGACTYAGCAAGTACCGTAGGGTGAGTGCACATCCACAGGGTGAGGGGGTAGGCTAAGGGCTTGGCGAGATGTTACCAACTCCAGCTTGGTCAAGTCTTGGTCAACGGCGCCGGTCAACTCCTCGATCAACGCTTGGTCAACGCAGCAAGACCCCGGTCAACCTCTCGGTCAACCCTCCGATCAACCCTCCACCTCGGCTATGGCTGCCGGCACCTTCTCCTTCGCCACCCTTGTCTCTTTCTTCCCCTTCCTTCACCTTCTTCTTCCTTTGTTTTTCCTTTTTTTTTTTTTTTTTTTGTCACCCTCGGCTATGTCTGTCTTCTTCTCCGATGTCCCTCCTTCCGCACTTCTTCCTCTACCTCTCTCCTCGGTCCCTCCTCTTTGTCCTCCTTCGTCACTCTGTGGTACAGCTCCACGGCTATGGCCGCTTTCTTCCTCCTTCGTGGGTCTGCTCAGCTCGCTTCACAGGTAAGTGACAACCAAACTTGTATCGCTCATCTCTCTCTCTCTCTCTCTCTCTCTCTCTCTCTCCGTAGCGGTATCCTTAGCGCAGCAGGTAGTAACCCAATCTTGTATCGCTCATCTCTCTCTCTCTCTCTCTCTCTCTCTCTCTCTCTCTCTCTCTCAGTCTTCTTCTTCGTCGTGGTCTCCTGGCAGGTGCGCGACGGCTTCTCCAACCTCGGGTCCGCAATGGCAGACTATGTCCCTCGGCGGCCACCTCCGCTATGGCGCTTCAGGGCCTGCACACGACGGCGCGCATGGAATAGCGGGTACCAGCTCCGATACCAATGCAATCAGACTCGTTTCATCCACACTTTTCATGCACGTGAACACCAGCACAGCAAACTGGCGACATGCGCCCATATGGCTTCCAGGTAAGAGTTCACTTCCACTGGCTATGGCAACTCAGTGCCCAACAACCCACTGTTCACACACTCCGGATCACCCTGGATATCCCACACGCGACACACCGAACACTCACACAACACACACACACTTCGCCCTAAGCTACAGCTATGGCAGCGCTAGCTGCCTCTACCCTAGCGCTATTGCTACNCTCTCTCTCTCTCTCTCTCTCTCTCTCTCTCTCTCTCTCTCTCCGTAGCGGTATCCTTAGCGAAGCAGGTAGTAACCCAATCTTGTATCGCTCATCTCTCTCTCTCTCTCTCTCTCTCAGTCTTCTTCTTCGTCATGGTCTCCTTGCAGGTGCGCGGCGGCTTCTCCAACCTCAGGTCCGCTATGGCGGACTGTCTCCCTCGGCAGCCACCTTCGCTATGGCGCTTCAGGCCCTGCACACGACTTCGTGCATGGAATAGCGGGTACCAGCTCCGATACCAATGCAATCAGACTCGTTTCATTCACACTTTTCATGCAGGTGAAGAGCAGCACAGCAAACTGGCGACATGCGCCCACGCAGAACTCAGAGATATGGCTCCAGGTAAGAGTTCCCTTCCACTGGCTATGGCGACTCAGCGCCCAACAACCCACGGTTCATAAACACTGGATCACCCTGGATATCCCACACGCGACACTCCGAACACTCGCACAACACACACACACTTCGCCCTAAGCTACAGCTATGGCAGCGCTGGCTGCCTCTACCCTATCGCTATGGCTACACTCCTCTGGCCCACTTCGACTTCGGGCATACTGCGGACCTCCTCGCACAAGACGCTGAGGCAGCGCTTCCGCAGGGCTTCCGCAGGAATGAATGAATGGCTATGCGCAGCCTCTTGATTTATACTTTTGTGACTCGTTGGTCTGCCCTGTTACCCTGGCCCACAGTGTACACAGTCCCAGACGGTACTTGCTTGACTGGACCGGACTGACTGAACTGGGACTGCTGACTCTGCACGGTGGACTTCCACCACTTGCCCACTTGCCTGGACCTACAGTGGGCTGACTTCCGAAAGGCCACTTCTAGAAACACCAACTTGGCCTTTCGGTACTGTAGCAGCTACAACTTTGCCCTTTCAGGTAAGTAGCAGCTACGACTTTGACCCTTCGGAACGTCTACAGCTAAGACCTCTGGACTATCTAGACTCCTACCCGACAGATCTACAGTTCGAATCCCCTATACCCTGCAACCTACGATGTCCTACCTACCACTGGTGATCCTACAGGTCGCAGGTTCAACTCTACGGGTTGACACAGGTACTGTACACAGGTAACGTGGGGAACTAGGGATCGAGCCCTGGGATCTGCGTCAGCTACTGCGAACTGGTGAATACCGTTTCATTGATTTCAGGGGTTTTGAAGGTGGGCGACCTGCATGGTGAAGTCGGATTGGCCGATGAGAGGGTAGAAAAGGAGGTGAGAGACAAAGGGGTTGCGCAGAAGAGCCGAGGAGGAAGACGAAAAAGGAAAAAACGGAGGGAAAGTGATGGATCTCGGTCAATCCTTGACCGTTTTAGACGATCTGAGAGGCGAAGTGGGGGTTTTGATACACTGCGGATCAAATGGCCGTGGCAGAGTTTTGATTCGGATGACGATCTGATCACTACGAGCAGTAAGGGCTGCCGGTAACCACGGGGAATTTTTATTTTTCTTTTTTATTTTTGTTTTTCTTTCTTTCTTTCTCTCATGATCAGTGTCGCTCCCATTGCTCACCATCCTTATCGACTTCTTCATCGGGATTTGGAGGTGGGGCATCTCACGTTTGGTGGTGGTGTCCATCTCGATGCTGCACGTTCTCCTCCGGGGTGCGTCTTGGCGGTAATTGCCATCTTCACAGTAGCAACAGGCCAGGTACGAAGTGAGAGCGGAAGAGGGTGAAATAAAGGGCGAGTGGCGCTTACCTGACACTGAATCTGGCCATGTTCTAAGTGGCAGATTCATTTGTGTATCATCCTGTGTTTTAGAGGAGGATGCATTTCCATGTGGTGCTTCTTGTAAGCAGAACGGTGAGCCCAAACCGAGCAGTGCGCCATAGAGGCAATGACGGGAGTAAGAAAAGGTGAGCAGAGGGATCAGTCAAACGAGGAAAAGGAGGAAGTAGTGGGTCTCGATGTGTGTGCGGGAGACGGGGTAAAGGTGACCACACATACAGCAGTATATATTTGCACGTTATAGCGGGAGATTCACTCTTAAATCTACAGTGTATCTTGAAGTTCCCATATTTCAGCGGAAGATTCATTTTTATTTGGCACATTGGGTGGATGGTGGAACAACGCCTGAAATAACGTCCGTGATTTTCTACGAAAGTTGCGGCGCAGTCTTAGTTGTTTCCCGCAGCGACCAGGTTTGCTCCAGTCGTGTTCATCATCCGCCCGTGCTCCCGCTTCAATCGCGGTGATCGTTGTTTCCTCTACTAAAGGTCGCTACATCTCGTCATCAGGGTCATGCTCATCTGTGAGCATAGTCACGTCGCCATCAGGGCCGTTGTCATCCTCGTTGAGGTCATGGTCACTCCTGATCACCGTCTTCCCTGTTCGTGAAGGCTGCGTGGCAACCTGTGGTCTGGAACTTAAGGTCGATAAATCGGGCCGATATAATGACCAGGTACATTTAATAAAAGGGGAGAAGTATCTACAAAAAAAAAAAAAAAAAAAAGGAGAGTAGAAGTTGCCACATTTCGGTCGTTTCTTGATCGAATTTGGCAAACTAAGATGCTAGTTGGGGGTTTTGAGGAATTGCAAGAAGATTGAGCGCGCCAGATTCTGGGTTTGAGCAGTGGTTCGGCCGTTTCGGTTGGTAGGAGTTGCATGACTACTGTGGGAGTCTGCGAAGGTGGCAACGTATCTTTCTATCTTCTAGGGGAAGATACATTATCATGTTTTACACTGGTAAGTGGTAGAGGGAGGCGAACAGCGTAGAGAGCTCGGCGCTTTGGGAGGATGTACCTTCCCAAGATTTGGCGGAAATTTTTGTTTTGCGCAGTTGATGAGCGCTGGAGCGGCAGCGCTGTTGGTATTCAACGTAGTGTTTGAGGCTGCGCGTCATTAGTATCCATCGTGAGGCTTGCGCTGCTGCGCCAATTGATGCTCATTGTGGTGATCGTGACCCCAGCCCGGCGATTTCCTCTCAAGTGGAGCACTTTTCCCCGCTCGTTGTCATCAAGGTCTTGGATACTGGTATGGTTGGTGTACCTTTCCATGTTCTAGTGGAGGATTTGTTCTCGTTTTGCACGTAAGACGAACACGCGGACCTTTCTAGTCGTCGTCAGGGTCCTGCAGGTGGCGGGCACATTGCTGTTCGTCCTCTTCGTCACAGTTCAGGTGTTGACCAAACTAGTTGTGCTCGGGGCTGCCATCACAATCCCAGTCATTCACGAGGAAATGCACTTCGTCACAATGGTCTTGGTCATTTCGCTGAGGGGCTGCAGCTGGTGCATGGGTGTTTTTAGTAATAGAATGATCTGAACCGCGTGGTTTTATTGGTGGTGGGGACTCTGCCTTGTTGAATAGCTGCAGGAATCCACGAAT